GGGGAGGGGGGAGAGAAAGAGAGAAAGAGGCGGTCAGAGCCCGGGAAGGAAACGAAGAGAGCCCCTCCCCCCAAGAAGGGGAGGTGTAGCTGAGCCGCGGCCATTCAGGGGCCGCCCGAGACTTTTTGCTGCCTGAGGCCCGGTGGGCCAAGGAGACCTCAAGGCGCCCTCAGCGGACAAAGCCAGTGAGTGGGTGGGGAAATCCCCTTCAGGAACAAGCACAGAAGAACACAACACGACCCGTCACGACCGGACACGGCGGTGGCAGGATCCACTCCTCCTTTGGTGCCCTGCCACCTGATCCCAGATCCGCGCCCTGCACCCCTTACCCGAGGTCCACGTCCAGGAGAAGTCAGGGCGCCCCCCAATGGATGGGGGTGGGCGGCAGGCAAGGCGCCCCTCGCCCCCTCCAAAGCCCCCCTTCTGGCCACGTGCTGAGAGAAAGCCCACGATGGCGCAAGAGGCACCCTGCTCGTGCAGGGTCCGTTTTGCTCCGGCCCACCCACCGCGATCTTCCTGCGGGTGCCCCAGAGGCCCCCCCCCCGGGAAGGAGCCGGGCAAGGGGAAAACCCCACCCAACCCCAGCCCTCTCCGCCGCGATGCTCCCCCGTGCGCTGGGCCAGGGGTGTCTTAAGCGTCCCAAATGAGGGGGGTGTCCCCCTCAGGCGATGCTGCCCCATCGAGAGGAGCAGAAGAGCTAGCTCCCTCTCCCTTCCACCGTCATCCTGGGGGGTGGGGGAGGGGGCGCGACCAGGAGAGGCAGGCAGCTCGCTTCCAGCCCTACTTTTGGAGAAGGAATGTCCGAACCCCGCAACGCGGATCCGCTCAGAAAGGGGATTCAGCGAGCATTCGGCCCTACAGGTCCTTTTTTGGGGGGTGGGGGTGGAGACGGTGTATGGCAGGAGGCGCTTTGGTCAGCCCATGGGGGAGGGTGGGTGACCCTTCAAAGCCCTTCTTGCTTCTGCCTGAAATCCCCACAAAATGCCCCCTGAAAACGCCACCTCCTCCCCTCCAAACATGGGACAAACACCCTCGCCGTTTTTAAGATGCCAGCCTAGCTATTGTCGTTTTTTATTATCAGATAATGATAGCAATTAAATAATACCAATAGCAGCCATGAGTGGGAGTTTTACGTTTTCCTCCCCCCTCCCCCCCTTGGTGAGGCAGGCTGGCTCGGCAGAGTGGGCGGGTGGGGGGCTCTCCCAAGGTCCCCCCCTGAATTTCATCCCTTCGCCTTTCCACCGCCTCCTTTTGTGCTTCGCCTTTGGTCTCCGGCGCTCGAGGCGGCCGGCGTGGCTCTCCTTCTACCTCTTTTATTTGTATTTATTTATTTGATTTATACCCCGCCTATCTGGCCTAAAAGACCACTCTAGGGGGCTCCTGGGTCCTCACAACAATCTGGGCAGGTAGTCCAGGCTGTGAGAGAGAAAGCCTAGCCCAAGGTCATCCTGGGACGTTCCGGGCTCCTTGGGCCCTGGATCCAAACCCCTGCGCCCCACTGGCTCTCAGAGGGGGAGCTTTCCGCCCCTCTCTTCCCGGCCTTGATCCATCTCCCCTTTCCCCCCCTTTTGCCTTCCCTGCTTCTGGTTCTCTCTGGGACGCACGACGTTTTTCTGCTTCCTGAGGACCGCGTCCCCATCACTTGGGGGGGGGGCGGATGCGCGGGGGAGTGGAAGGAAGGAGGGGGGTGTTTTTTGGGAGCTTTCTCCGGCAGGCAGCGGTCGAGCCACGAGGCAGCGCTTCCCTCTTTTCCCAGCGGATGACACGTAAGCTGCTTGCCAGCGACCGCGGCAAAGAGCCCAGCCTCTGTGTGCATGTGTAAATAACTAACTAACTAGAGAGAGAGAAACACATCCACAGACGCACCCGGGCGCCACAGCCGCGCTCTACACGCGCTCGCCTCCTCCCCAGGTCGTGTGAAGCCGAGGCGCGCGGGGCCTCCCCGGTCTTTGCTTCCCAACAGAGTCCGGGTCGCCTCACAGGGTTTGGGGGCGGCAGCGAGAAGGAAGACGAGGGGAAGAGATCGACCCCAGAGGGCTCCCCAAAAGTCAACCTGGGGTTCCGCCTGCAAAGGCGCCGAGGGTGGGGGCCGCCAAGGAGGGGAGGGCCAAGCCCGACGGGCGGGCGGAGAGGCTGCGGAGGCCCCGCGGCGACTTCCTTGCGGGTGCCCAGGCTTCCCCGCGGGGACTCGGGCGGGACGGAGCCGAGCGCCCCAGCGCCGGCGGAGAGAGGCCCGCGAAAACCGTTCAGACAACCCTGACGCTAAAGGAAACATGAATTGCCTTCCGCTGGCCTGCGGTGCCCGGACTCGCGAGTCCTTGGTGCCGCCACCCTGAAAGAGGGCATTTCCAACGGGGCAGCCTTGGGCCAAAAGCGCGCAGCTGGGCTGGCGGGGTGCAGGGGGTCGTGGGGGTCGTCGGGACGCCTGGGTTGACGCCCGGGGTTTTTGTGGCTGCCTTTGCGCAGGGGTTTGTCTTACCTTGGCCGGGGTGCCGGCCTTCCTCCTCCCCCCCCTCCTCCTCCTCCTCGCCGAGTCCTTCCTCAGTCCTTGCCTCTCCAGCCGCCCAGCTCGCTCAGCATGGCTCCCGAGGCGGGCACAGCGCTGGCGCCCGGCGCCCCTCGCCTCCCCTCGGCTCGGCTCGGCTCGGCTGACAAACCTCCACTCTGACGTCAAAAGTCCTCGCTCGCATTCAGGACCACCGGCTCCTCGCCAGTGAATCAGAGGCGCTCGCGACCAGAATAATAAGCAGGCGCGCTCCCGCAGTCCCTCTCTCTCCCACACGCTCCTTTGCCCTCGCCGCTTCTTCAGACCCGAGCGCGCGCTCGCCGAGGCGGGGAGTTGCGAGAGGGAAGCGACACACGCGCGTAGACGCATCCAGACTGGCGGGCGCGCGCCTGCGCTGGAATTTCATTCATAAAGGTGCCCAAGAGCGCCTCCCCCCCCCATCCCCCCCTTCCTCTCCCAAGGTCAGTATTTTCACGCTATCGCGTTGCGGCAGAAGGCAGCCAAAGGCGCAAGACGCACCGGGCGCGCTCGGAAAGGGAGGTGGACGCCAAGGCATTGAAGAGGGAAAACAACGAGCCAACAACCCGGGGAAACGCGCTTTATTGCAAAGGTCCGGAGCCTGGCCCACCGTGACTGAAGACCTCCAAGCTGGAGGACGTTTATTTGGGTAGCCCTGCCGCGCCCTGAATTTCCAGCGGAGTTTTACTCCCCCCCCTCGCCCGAAAAGGGGGAACCTCTCCAAGAGAGAGAACGTTGCTTCGAGGGGCCCCTGGACAGGGTCTGCTCCCTCCAAGAGAGAGGCCCCAATCCCCAACCCCCGCTTCCGATCCTCCTGGGAGAAAAGCAAACTCCGCCCCTACTCTGGTCTTTCTCTCCCCTTCCTTTTTTTGGGAACGCAAACCGGCTTAATACGAACCAAAACCCGACACCAAGAAACCGAATGCTTGGTTATTTAAGGTAGCTTATTAACACCAAGTGGGCAGGAATTCTTAGCTGTTAGAGCAGCATGACGACGGAGCCCATGACCTTCGCGGGAGGGGGCCGGTGCGCCAAGGCTGGAGGCCTTCAAGAGAATATTATTAAGACCACCCTCTGTCAAATCTGCTTGGATTTGGATTCCTGCCTTGAGCCGGCAGGGGGTGGTTGGACTGGATGGCCTTAGGGGCCCCTCCCAACTCCATTATTCTAGGAGTCTGTTATTTTAATCTCCCCTGTCCCAGAGGTAGGAAAGTTGTCCTGCCAGCAGAATTCCCAGTGGCACCACATGCTCAGACGGTTTGTGTTTCTATATATATATTTTAAAAAAGGAAATCAGTTAAGGATTGAGACTTAGAGCTGCAAAATCCCTAGAACTGGAAGAAAACGTGGAGGAACAACACAGTCGCCCCCCACACTCCCCAAAACATTTGGGACAAGAAGGCTGGAGTTTTAACATCCATTGTTCATTGTTCCCTGCCGCCGCCGCCTTGGGCAAGCCTGCCTACCGTCCTTTCCCCCTTGCTTCATATCATTCCATTCCACTGTTCTTCAAACCAAGCAGCTTATCTTAGAACCGAGACAGGCATGGTATCCATCAAAGCCAGGGCAACTTTAGCCATACTCTCTTATTATAAGAGGGTG